GGCTGTAAAATTTTTATCTAGTTTGTACATTTGGGATGTGTAAATCATCATGTGATATATCAGAAGCATGCAGTGGGGCTGAAAAATGAAAACCGGGCATTTCTCTATTGCCTCGTAAAGGTCAGTAGCACAGCCCTGCTTGGAATATCTGTGAAACAGAAAAGCAGGAGACAGGTCACGAAGGCTTTATGTCCCAAAATAAATTCCCTACTGATTAACAATTTTTAAAAGTTTTCATCCTTATTTTCCTGTTGATAAAGTTTTAATTTGGAATTACCTGGAAGTCTTCTGCTTTATTCCGACTAGCTGCAATTAAGCCAAAATGCACACTTTAATCTCACTTGAAATCAAATTATCTTAAATTATGGTCACAAACGCAGTCCCAGACAAGATTTAGCTGTCATTGCTCAAAATGCTGAATGTAACATTATGAAAACATCTTTGCTCTGAGAAGTTAAAAATTTGAACAGCACTGACACATGGTTTAAAGGATTTTAAAAAACCCAAAAACCTGTTATCTCCATTATACAGATGGGAAATTGAGGCACAGAAAGAGTAAATACTTGCCCGAAGTTAAATAAGAAATCTCTTTAGATACAATCTTTCTCTCTAACACACCCCAGTATTAATTTATAGTCACCTAATAAAGAAATGTGATAGTCATACACATAATATACTTCATCATAGGAATCTTTTTCTTATCACTATTTTTAAAATAAATTCAAACTAACAACACCAATCTGCTCTGAACACTGCTTAGCTAGCCAGCAAAAAGCATTATCTGTGTCAACAGGATAAAACATACCAGTGGTTTTTCTTTCAAATACTTTATTTCCAACTAGGAACTTTATAAAGGCTCCCTTTAGAAGCTAGGATTTCTCTTCTCTTTTTCCCAGCTTCCAGTATATTGTCACTTGTTTTCCCTTTGGATTATATGCTTCTGAAGGACACTGTAAAAATGTGCACACACCAATTAAAGAAAGCAGAGTCCATCATAAAGCTATCTGGACTATTTTGAAAAGGATACAAAGTTAAATTAAATATTCCAGCCACAGAAGCTGTCACTGCAAAGGAAAACAGTGCCATTGATCTGGTATCAAGCATGGTTTACAACGTGTGAGCATGGTGGACGTGGCTCCCTTAATTACAGCAGATTAAAGCAGGATGAGCTCTAGTGATGTCTAGACTTGTAGCAAGAGCAACTCAGTGAGGAGACAAGGAGAATCAGGTCCTTCCACTGCAGGAAGATGGTGTCACACTTTAGCGAAGACTTGACAGGAGGAAAATTCCAGTATTCATACATGATAAATCACATGAATTGAGCTGAGCATACAGCTTGCAGTCAGCACTTTGCTGTGAGCAGTGTAAGCACCAGGACCATGGTGCAAAGCATCTGCTCAGTCTTCCAAGCTTACTAATCACCTCAGCATTTGTTGTCTTCAAGATTAATAAGGAATGCCTAATGACTACTTTAGAGGCAGACAGAGGGTCAGGAGATGTGAATCATGTTGGCATCACCTAACGTAAGAGAGCAGGAGGTTGCTTCCAAGCACCTTTAAGAAAACACTTTCTTCCAGCCCTAGACAGCAAGTCCCTGTTATCACTCATACAAATAAACTGAGAGCCAGATTTGGTTCAACAGATTCTCTAGCCTCCACCACAGTCAGAGTCATTCTTGTGTCCTGTCTCAGCAATGCCAATTGCTCTAGGTACACACCCCAGTGGCTACGTCTTTCTTGAGTAGAAGCGTCTCTCACTAATCCTTATTCAATCAGAAAAATAACTGGATATGTGAGAATTAATTACACAGCCCCCATTAATTATTTACCTGTTGTGACAGGAGCTACAATTAAAACAAAGAAGCTGGTTTTAATGCTCATTCACTTACGTTCCTGTTCCAGATGAGAAGGAAAGAAGTACTGCTTTCAAATTATCTCAATGTTTTGCTCACATTGAATTTTTTTTGCTATAAACTCAAATTCATTCTTTAAAAGATGAGCTTTTCTCTGCAAATTTATTTTCAATTGAGTCCACTTTAATAATTCCCCAAGACAGTGTCATCTACATGTTATCCCTACACTGTGATCCCAACAGTCCAATCTATCCCTGACACACATGATCCATGTGAGGATAACACTCAAAAAAACAGCCTGCACATTGCTCAGCCATGCTAAGGGACCAGGACTAACACATTGATTTAAAAGCACTCTGAAGATGAAAAAGTATTCATAACTATTTTTAGAACATACACTTTCTGTCATGGCAAAATAGGTACTGAATTTCTAATTTGTTTTTTTATATTAATATGCACAGGATAACATGAAAAATATTTGCTTTGTATGAGTCCTGCCCTATCACTCATAGCATTTGTTTCTGAGAGTTAGCATTGAATTATTTTAAAATGCAAACAAAAAAAATATGGTAACTAATACTGGATATATTTGCAATTTAATTTGTTCTAAATTCTCTCCATGACCTAACATGCAAAGTGCCAAGTACCATCTCTTCCCAGAAGCAGTTAAAGGCACTCAAAAGCTCCCTGACAGTGCCTGGCATCTTGCAGAATAAGGCACCTGACACCAAAAAAAAAGAATTTTGAATGTCAGTGAAACAAAATCATCCTTCAACTAGAACATGTTAGCTGTTTCCTAGAGTGTAACAAGTCTGTTTAACAGTCTGAGGTAGAAACAACAGACATACAATGCATATACCTCCAAAAGGATTTCAAGTCAGCAGGATACCATGGTCCAGACTTCAATGTGGGCAGAATACCACCTTACCATATTCTTCTGACATGGAAGGTAAATCACATCTTTAATTATCATACAAAGTTAAATTTCAGTGCCATGCCTCCTGTTGAAGAAAGTCTCTCTAACTGCATAATCCCATAGAAATGTCACAGGTTTATACTGCATATTACCAGCTCAAAGGAAACTTACTGCGAACCAGAATGCCATCTTTTGTGCCTTGCACCCCAATTTCAGCAGCCTACCAAGACCTCAAATGGAGGAGCAAACAGGGTTTCAAAAGTAGAGCCCCAAGTGTTGAGTGCTATAAAAAGTTCAGAAAAAAAAGCTCAGCACTCAACTAGCAGAAATGTCATTGCGGTATCTACAGCTGCTTCATGTTAGCTGACCCCATGAGTTGCCTGGTCATCAGGCCGGGTTGCTCGTGGCTTTACCCAGTTGGGGTTAAAAACCTCCAAGGGCAGAGACTGCACACAGGCTGCCTCTCTGGGCAATTTATGCCTCTCCCTGACTGTCCTTACAGGGAAAAATACTCAGTCTGAACATCTGCTGTTTCAGCTTAAGCCCGCTGTCTCTTGCCCTCCTATGCTACACCACTGTGAAGAGCTCATCTCTCTCTCCTTGAGGACATCCCTGCAGGCACTGGAGGCTGCTGTTAGATCCTCTCAAAGCCATCTCTGCTCCAGGCTGAACAAGCCCACGTCCCCCAGCTTCTCCTCATAGGAGAGGTATACCAGCCCCCCACCACCTCAGTGGCTTCATCTGAGCTCCCTCTGGTTCATCAACTTCTCTATGGTTTTTGGACTCCCAACATTGGATTCAGAAAGCTAGAAGTGGTCTTATGAGTACTAGTAGAGGGGGATAATGAGTCCCTTCGAGCTGTATCTCTGCTCCTCCTGTTCGTATAGCCGGGGCTGCCATTGCTGTCTTTGTTGCCAGGACTCGCCACTGGCACATGTCCTATTTGCTGGCCAGCAGGACACCGAGGGCCTTTCCTGCAGAGAAACAACTGCAACAACTCTCCTTTTGCAAACTCCATGAAAGCAGCAGATGGCAAATGACAGTGCTGCACAGCAGATGCTAGATAGCAGCAGAAACATACCGTTACAACCATTCAGCCGCTGTGCTGCAAGTGGATGAGCTGCAGTTGCTTGTCCTCGGGACTGAGCCCAAACATGCATAATACTGACAAACTCACATTGACCAACATGATCACATCGGCATTACTTTCTTGTCAGCAGACAGCATAATTGCATGTAATTAATATATGAGAACACTTGATGTCTTAGAATTTACTTTAAGAGTTATTGTCAATTATTATAGTCCTGGAAGTAGAGCTGTGTAACATCAGCTTTGCTACACAACAAATGGCTATCACAAATAAATCAGGAATTACTGCTTTGAAACAGTTATCTTTATAAGCAGTTACTACTTTTTCCCCTTACAGTTTCCTGTAAAATGAAGACAATTGCCCAGTAGTTAAAGCTCAATCTGAAAAGATTACAAGGAATATGAACAGTTTCATAAAAGTGAAACAGTAAAACAACCTCAGTCAAAAATTAAGTTT